GATCGGCGATGAACGCGATGAAAGGCGACAGTAGACGTTTGATCAAATGCCGGGACGTACCAAATACTCTGACCGCGACTTAGTGTACTCGTGTTTATGAGAAGAACTGAAAGGATTTTGTTTACGAACTTGCTCCTCACAGGGCTTTAGAGCACGCTGCAGAACGAATTGACATTAACAACACTTCTTTTTGATTATAGGGGCAGACAGCAGACGTCAGCAGAGAATTTCCTATCATTAGACTAATAATGAATTTTCCTTGATTATGTAAATATTATATACTTGGCGAAAAGCAAGAGGAGTAAAGAACATGCAAGTATTCTCCACTTCAGCCCGTACATATGAGCAATACGCTGTTGGTCAGTGCTGTCGTTAGGTATCAGATATGGAAGTAGTCTGGGGCAGTGGACAAGTATGTATCTGCTAAGAACAGTCATTAAAAACGAGGGCTATAGTGGAAGTCCGATCGCGTATATAGTGATGTGTTCTAGTTAAGTATTTTGCTGTTTTCTCTTCAATTTTAATGACAATATAACGAAGTCATGGATTTTTGTTTCTAGAAGGAGTTCAGAGGCGGCGGACTTGAGGAACAGTAGCTATTGCAAGCCGGTCCGGACGGCTCGGCTTCGTAGCGGCCATAAACGCGAATAATTTTAACCTCTTCACAGTGCTAGTACCGTCCATAAGCTTGTAATACCTACGGGAATTGTGAATGTCATAACAATACAGCATTTTAGCAAAGGAAACTGTCTTTTGTGGATTTGTGTAAGCATTAGTCTATAGAAAGATGTACATATCCCACAGTTAAAAAGGTTTACTTCAAAAAGAATTTCTAATACTCGGAAATTGGCACTTAAAATTGAAATAGAATTTCAAAAAGCTTCGTTCGGAAAAGGAATATTAGCATTGCAGCGTTATAGTGATAAGAGGTGTTAGGCAGAAAGTGGTAAACTTTATTAAAGGCGCATTTAGGTCCACAGCGGCTGTCAGCTGAAGCTATAGCAGTACAGTACAAGAGTTATATAGCACAGTTATGGCAATCTGCTTTGCTAGGAAAATTGTGTGCGATCCGTCGATTAATTCTTGAAAGATTTAATTTCAAAAAGCATTAAATCAAAAAGCCTAAGGGGTTACGATTAAATGCTAATAATGGCCATTTGCTTATCTTAGATACTTAGATGGCCTGTCTTCACTCGTCGTGCAGGCTTCATCATT